TGATGAACAAGTTAAAGAACAAGTCATGGAAATAGTGAAGAAGTCGTTTAAACCAGAGTTTCTCAATCGAATGGATGATATTATAGTATTTTCACCACTTTCAGAGAAAGAATTGAAAGAAATAGTTAAATTACAAATGGGAGAAGTGATTAAAGTCATTAAAAAGAGATATCCAGGAAGTGAAGTTGAAATGACGGAAGCAGCAATAGAAGGAATCATTAAAGCAGGATATTCAATAGCATATGGAGCAAGACCAATGCGAAGATATATTGAAAAGACAGTAGTTACAGAAATAACGAAGTCAATAATAGGAGGAGTGATGAAAGAGAAGAGTAAAATTAAGATAGGATATGAAGATGGTAAGATTGAAGTTAAAATAACTGATAACTAAAAAGGATAATAATATAATTGAATGTATTTTATAAAAGAAAGAGGTTGAAAGAAAAAGGAAGAATAATATAAAAGACAATCAATTGAATAATAATGTTTATTTTTAATGTGAATACTATTTCTTTTCATCAATTGTATTTGATGAGATATCAATGTTTTTTATAATAAATGAATGAATATATTTTACACAGTCTAATTAAAGTTAATCAACATTAATATTTCATCTATTCTTTAGAAAATTATCAATACATCATTTTCTCATGTTATTCTTCAATTATTTCTCATTAATCTTTCTATTTCATCATCTTTTAATGAATATTTTTTTTATTTATTTCATATATTTTCTTCTCTCATCTATTGCCATTGTAACTATCATTTTATATGTTAATGTAATACATGGTATAGTTATTATAACATTATTAACTTCTTTCATATTTATACTTTATGTTCATTTCTATCATTCTTTGTTTTTGATTATTCAACAAATTAATTAAGTTCATTCACATCATTTAACGTTAAAGCTGGCACTAATAAATGAATAGTCAGGTCAAATATTAATAAATTGAATTTAAAACATGTTCATTTATTCATAGTGTTAAACTAAGAATATATTTCAATACACTTAATAATCAAAATGTTTTACTTTTAAACATGAATATGTTAAAATAACAACATTATTTAATTAGTATTGTTAATTTAAATATATTTGTACATTCGTTGAGTCTTATTAGTTTGTTGGTTCATCATATCACATTGTAAACGATATATTTTAACATTAATTTTATTTTTTAGAAAATGATGAAGTTAATAACTTCAATCAACTTTTAAAATATGCTTTTTAATACACAATTAACTACAACTACATGATTTTACAATACCAATGAATATAATAAACATGAAATGAATTACAATTATAATAAACAAGAAGATATAATTCAATTGATAATATTAAACAGAATAAGGGTACGAAAATTAGCAAAGAAAAAATGCATCTAAATAATTTACAAAAAAGAAAAAAGATGCAAAAAAATTTGCATCCATAGATTTTTCCATTTATTATATTTTGCTCCTAAAATAAAAATAAAAAATATGATAAATACAGAATATATAAATATTTATGTTTATATTTTATAATCATTTGTATTCATTTTGTATGAAATATTAATGAAATATATTATTTGATTATTCATATTTATTTGTATTCTTTTTATTCTTTTATTTATATGTTATTTATCTATCGTATTTTTATATATTTATTTCTCTGTTTATATTATTTATATCTTTGTATTCTTCTTATTATCTATATATTATTATATTATTCTTATTTTATGTTTTTTCTATTTATATTCTTTAGATTTTCTTATTGTTATTCTTTTCTATTTAGATGTATTTGTTTATTTGAATATTCATCTTTTATATTATTATCATTTATATCTATTTTCAATTTATATTTATTCTCTTTTGTTTTATATTAATATTATTTTTATCTTTTATACTTTGATTTTATATTAATATTATTGATTATCATTTCTCCTTTTATTTATCATTTATTCTTATTATTCTTTTGTTTTATATTCTATATCATATATTCATATCATTTTCATTTATATTTTATCACTTATTATATGCTATAATAACATAACACATATGATTGATTATATAATAAACATCATGTTTAAATTATACATATAAATAATAAACATAAAAAGAATAAAATATTTTTCATTAATAAAACAATATTAATTATTTTACATCATTAAATTAGACACTTTTATTGAATATTTCTAATTTTTACATTAAAAAATACACTTTTTATTTCTTCTTTTCTTCTTTTATTACATCTTTTTGATTTATTACTTTTTATATTCTTCTTCTACTTTATTTTTATTCTTTTATATATTTTTATTCTTTTTATATTATTTGTTTTTCGTTGTTGGTTATATTTCTTTCTTCTATTATTTATCAATTTTATATTCATTTATTCTTTTTATTTCTTTTTTAT